TTGGGTTTAGGGTTTGGGGGTACGCGAAAAAAGGCTGGGGGGTCATGAATGAAATAGGTCACTTCCTCGCATGCCGATTTTATTAAAAGTCTCCGTATGAAAATCCTTTTGACATGCCTGAATTCCTGGAAGATAATAAATAAGCCAAGACCCAAGACTACTTTCAAAAGGAGCCAGTAGGTAGATTTTTAGAAAGGAAAGCTGTGGGGCCCCCATTTTTGCGTAGGCTGGATTTTTTAGATTTTTATACATTGCAACGCGTCCTGATAGGTTCCTAATAAGGCATATGATGAGGAGAGGGGGATAAGGAGGCTCATGAGGCTGAGGAAGTGCATGAGTAATCAGGAACCTGATAGGGGAGAAGAAGGGGTTAGGGAGGTAGAGTAAAGGAATAAGCAAACAGGGCCCTGGGGCTGGTGCGGGCGGGCGGGGAGGGGTCAAAACAACTCCTAGGGGAAGTTTTTTTGTTTTTTGTTTTTTGCCACTCCCTCCCCCCCAGCCCCAGAGGCAAACGGCCAGGAGGCTGCCAAGCCTCTTCCATTCCTTTAAAGAATTGGGAGCACTTTCCTGGGCTCTCCTTCAATTCTTTTCCGAAGATAAAGAAGATTAAAGAGGGGATGATTCTGCTTGGATGCTTGGGCAGGCTTCCGCAGAGAATGAATGAGGAGGACCCTGTACTTCTGCCATAGAGATTGGGGACAAAGCCTTCCCCATATGAACAGATCTCAAGCTCCAGTTGCCTTTATTGACATTATATGGACTTAAAAGAAACACCTGCAAGGAACCGGAGCTTCCATTGTCTCAAATCAGTTGTATCCTTCTTTTATATTCATCGTGGAGAAGAGACTTGTGCTCCATTCGTATGAACTCCGTATGGAAACCCAGCAAAGCCCCCCATGTGACATAGTGTCTTGCCCGTGTAGCCCAACTGGAGTAATGGTATATGGATTTCCGGCTCGGCGGCATACCTGGACGCCGCGTTTCTGTATATGCTTAAAATATATTAGGTGTCGGATGGCAGAGCATCCTGAAACCTACAAAGCACGGCCATTGACACGCGTACTGTACATTCAAACCTCCCTTTGTTTTCTCATCATTCTCAAATGCACCCTTCGTTCTAGAACGGAATCTGTACTCTAGAATTTGTTGTTGCAGCTATACACTTCTGCTGGACAGGGTACAATGTCAAAAGGGTTGCTCACGTATTTTTTTTAGGAGGAATGGATTTCTGATCTTAAAAGCAGAAGCTTGATTATACGCAAGGTCCAGTAGATTCTGCTGACTTTCTCTGGAAGGGAAAAAACAATTTCAAGTAAATGGAGCTTCCACTTCTCTCAAGTCAACTGTATCTTTGTAAAATTTGCTTATGGAGAAGAGACGTCTGTTCCGCTCGTAAGAACTGAGGTTCAGCTTTACCGCTAACCTAGTTATTGAATTATTTGTTGTTTTGGGCAAAATAGTCACTGCACCGCTCGCTGGGCTCCTGTTCTCTTCGTTTTCTATGTACAAACTCCTTACTAGATTTACCGTAGATTTGGATACAAGTTCTCAGGTCTTGGGCTTCCTTTTTTTCTATCAGCCCTTTATCGGGAACATTATCATGGTCTCCAATAAATGATATTCTGAACAATTTCTCAGCTCCTGATGACAGATGCCATACATTTGCATGGGAATTATGGTACAGAAAAAAAAAGAAGCCCAAGACTGGACAATTCCTCCTTACATTCGAAATACCATTAGTATGGAATGTATATATAGAAAAATGCAAACAGGAACCCAGAATACAGAATTTCTATATAGAATTTGCAGCACATGTATTAAGGGATCTCTCCAAAGAAACACTGGGGAGACATAAAGGCTGGGGAGGACTTTGCTCCGCTCCCTCTAGGACTGCCTTCCATTTATTCCAGACAAAGTGGGGAGGAGGCAAGCATGGCGAGCTAGGTTTCGCAGCAGCTGCGCTTTATATGGGTGGGCCAACAATAAGGGTAATGGGTCCCAGAGAGATCCATATATATGCAGTAGGCTGTGTGGAAGGCTCTGCATCAATGGCGGTGAGAATTATGTGGGATGCCTGTATTGAAATGATAGAATTCGCTTCCATATAGATGTAACCTCTCCACACACCCGATCAATCCCATTGCATAGTCGAAGCGCAACTCTCCTGCGAAACCTAGCTCTCCATTCTTTATCTAAGAATGAAAACTCTCATGTGTTCATGAGGACTTCCCTTGCAATATCATCCTTTTGGTATAATTCTGACTGATCGCCTTTGAGGAAGAAGCCGCTGTCTTTCTTTGAGAGGCAGGGAGCAGAGGTCCTCCCAATGCCCTCCCATTGTTTGTCTGGAAAGATGGGAGGATAGGAGCATGCCACCCTCCCCCAGTCTTTTCTCTAGACGGAGTGCAGGATGGTCCTCCCGATGCCT